GCTAACGCACTTCCTCTCACTGGGCCCAGGCCATGTCTTTATAAAGTGAGCCTGTGAGAGAGTCTCTTCCAATCCCCAATTCTTATGTTTCCCCTGAGAATAGCTGGCGATGTGGCCAGGATGGAAGCCGTGGATGAACTCTTAAACCCCCATTTGGATCATGAACTATTAATAATCAGAACAGTAATATGGTCAGGAAATGATCAGAGCATGTCCATTGTTAGTGGAGGCACTGAAGCCCTACTTTTACAGAATTCACAAGTGAAAATGCAGTCAGAATTCACTGCTGAAAAGCTAACCATTCCAGTTTCAACAGAAATTCTCCTGCTTGGCTTGTCCGGTGCATACCTCCATTGATGTTTGCTGGTCATGGTTAATAATAAAACCGAAATGCACTGAGCACTTGCTATGTCCCCGGCACTGTGCTAGCTTCTAGAAAGCATGGTCTCCTTGGCTTTCACAATGGCTCTTTGTAGTCGGTATTGCTATTCCCAGGGCAGTGACCACTCCTGACACAGAGGTGGAGGCCGACAGTGCTGCTGTATAAATCCATAACCACACCCCCTGTGAGAACTCTGCTTTGTGGAAGGTCTTCTGCCCCACTAATCTTCATTTAATTCCCCTCCCCAAGCATGTTGTCACCTAGCGCACCCCGCTGACAGGCCCTCTGCAAGTCCTCATCTGAGTGACGGCCCTGGAAAATCAAGCTGCGGTCTCCAAAGGGAAGGAGGATCTGCAGATTATCTCCTCAGCATGTGCAGTCACTCTGCTGGCAGCTCTCGGCAGCTTTTATGTTGCCTCAATAAAGAGAAAGGCTGCCAATTGTGTGTAATGTTCCGTTCAGAATTCTCCTGGCTGGCAGCGGCGAGACAGTAGAGACCCAGGGCAGATGAAAAAAATCTCACTCAGCCAGATCCATATCCTTTTGCCTTTGCTCGTGTCCGGAAGTTGTTTTGAGAATCTTCCTATAATTCTTTATAGATCCTTGGACGTATCAGACCAGGAGGAAAGGGAGGAGGAAAGGGGGGATGCGCGGGCAAGCTGGCTGGGGGTCAGATCATTTTGCCATAACCAGCAGGCAGTTTCTTTCACAAATCATTGAACCCTGAGTAGCCATTATCGTCCCAACTGCTCCCTATTAACTAGGCCAGACTCTTAAGGCCCTGAGAGCCAGACAGCATTCCCCTTCCTCTCTCTCACTCTGCTCAGACCATGGTTAGAAAGCAAGCGACAGTTTACACAGATTATTGATATATACTAACATGTTTCTCATACCATTTCTTTGAGATGATTATCACCTGACCTTATTAATAAGAAGGCAACCAACATCAGAAAGTTTTCAATTGAAAAAAGAAAGAAAGGCCCAGAGACATAAAGTGGCTGTCTCAAAGACACTCAGCTAATGAGGTGAGAGCCAGGCTTGTAGAACAGGACTTCTGACTTAAAGTTCTGTTCTTTGCCATTATGGTGTGCCTTCTAGATATTTCGTCAGCTTCCTGGATGATGGGGTACCAGTGTGGAGCGGGGAGCTAGCAAGGAGACCTGTGTCTTTGGTGGTAGGGAGCAGGAGAAAACCTGAACTTCCTCTGATTGCCTTCTCTGAAGGTCTCTACATCCTCTTAGCAACCGACTAGTGATCTTATTGGCTTAAAAATCATTACAGTGAAATCCAAAGCTGGGGGGAAGGGGGATCAATGCAAAGACATTGCTGGGGAGAAAGTGCTCAGAGGGGATGTGGGCACGCTGCCGCCCTCCCCGGCTCTGGCTCTGTCCATGACTATGGACTGGTGGCTGGGCAGATATTTTGACTCTCATTTCAGAAATGCAGAAGCTGAGGAGAGAGGGAGTGAAATGATTCATTTTCTTTAAGGATACCTGGAAATTTGAAATCTAAAAGTTTTCTCTTTAGATAAAAGCATTTGAAGGGTCCAGGCTAACTGCTGGTCTTTAGAATGGAAATGTTGACGTCACTAATACTTTTTCACCACTAACAGGGGTCCTGGGTAATGCTAAGGTATTGCCTCTTGGGCAGCTCAGAGTTTCTAACCTTGAGACAGGTTCTGAAGACTCTCATCCTTCCAGCTTGGATGCTGGCGACATCTCCAGCCCAGGGGAGTGGCCAGACCCAACCCCCAGGAATATCACTCCTCTTATTGGATCAGTTTCAAAAATTCTTTCAGTAATTTTTAAACCAAGGGTTATGCATTCATTATAGAAAAAACACTGACAATACAAATAATCAAAAAGAAAAAAGTGCCATTCCACCACCCCAAAATCATTACTGTTAACATTTAAATAAATTTTATGTTGTATGTGTGTATGTTATAAATGTAAACATATACATATACACATACATCCTATTTAATATTTTTATTAAAATGTACTGTTTGTGACCATATATCCCATTAACATATTACAATTTTTTCCCATGTCAATATGTAAACTTCTACTTTACCATTTTTAATGGTACCATGTTATTGCATTGCATAGAGTACCATGATTTCTTAATTGTTTTTAAATTACATATTTTACCCATACAAGCAAATACACAGAAGAATTGCCATGGTTTATTTAATCTTTGCCACCTCCAGCATTCCTTTTCCTTAAAGCATCTAATACGTCCAGTAACTAGTATTTGAATTTCACTTTATAGTTTACAATACACTTATACACATATTATTTCATTTGAGCCTTTAAGGCTTGTATCATATTACTATTTTCCTCATTTTATAGATGAACCTTAAAAAGCTCAGAGAGGCTAAATGATGTATGCAGTACCCTAAGTCCAGTTAATGTCAAAGAGATGCTGGGCCCAGAGATGGACACACCCCCTGTGTAGGGCAGACCCCCATCGTAGGCAGGGAGGAAGTGGGGACCAGAAGAGCGGCCCTGGCATGCTCCTGTCTCTCCCCCCCACACCCACTTAGGCATTTATTATGTGTACTGACTTGTTTCGTGACTGTTTCCCTTATGACTGTGTGCTTTTTGAGAGCAGACACCTGTCTTCATTTCTCCTCTCCCCTGCTCCCTCCACAATAGTAGTGTACAATACTCAGTTCATGTTTCCTAGGTCGGTGTGTAAGTGAATGAATGAATAAACAAATGAACAAGTGAATGAATGAATGAATGAATGAACGAACGAACTAATGAAAGGTGTCACAGAGATAAGTGAATTGCAGAGGCTGGATTTTGACAGCTTCCTCCGTGCCTCTGTTTTCAGTTCAGATATTTTAATAAGCCATCTTGGTGTCTGAGTTTTTGTATTTCTGCAGGTTTTTGTCACCACTGCAAAGCTCCCACACGGATGCATGGAAAAGCATGTTCAGAACCAAGGGCAAGGAGAAACTGTCTGCATGCTAGATTCCCTCTAGCTTTTCCAGTGCCCCACCCTGGCCCCAGCTGGGATGAACCAGGCTCACCTTAAAGGCATCTCCAAAGTTACCTCTCTAATATCCCTCATTTGGAACTACTTGATATTTATGATCTCATTTGAACTGCTTGTGAAAACAATGGCTTAGCTTAGCAGCTTATAGCATACTTTATGAGGGTTGTTTGAAGTGCTATTATTGTTGACAGTAAAAGCTGTATAGCAGAATTACAAGAAATTTTGGAACAAAAATCATTCAAATCCCATCACCTAACAAGGCATCTATTTTTATTTTTGCATAATCTCCTCAAAGTCTCATCCTTGTGCATATTTTTCTTTTCCTACTTGTCACAGGGAGCATGCAGCATTGTTTTCTGCTTTTTCCACTTAGTATTACTGTAAGAAGCCATAGCCGATTTGGCTCAGTTGGTAGAGCAACAGCCCGTAAACTGAAGAGTCTCGGGTTTGATTCCAGTCATGGGCACTTACCTTGGTTGCAGGTTGGATCCCCAGCCGGCCATGGTCGGGGTGCATGTGGGAGGCAACCAATCGATCTGTCTCTCTCACATCTATGTTTCTCTCTCTGTCACTCCCCCTCCCTTCTACTCTCTCTAAAAAAAAGCCAAAAAAATCATTATTGTAAGAATCTTTCCTCCTCCACCATTTTTCTGCGTAGACTTTATAATTATCTTTAAAAAATGTTATTAATTTTTTTAGAGAGAGAGGAAGAGAGAGGGATAAAGAGATAGAAATATCCATGAGAGAGAAACATCAATTGGCTGCCTCCTGCACACCTACTAGGGATCAAGCCCACAACCCCAGCATGTGCCCTGGCCAGGAATCCAACCGTGTCCTTCTGGTTCATAGGTCAACGCTCAACCTCTGAGCCACAGCCCCTGTGTTTGCCATTTAAGATGTTCCTAATTTTCCACTAACCCATACTGTGGCAGTAAACATTGTTATGCTTATAGCTTTTGCATTTGTTGCCTGATTTCCTTAGAACGCCGCCCTCCCATGAGGAGCGTTGCAGGGTCTGAGCAGCACTGTGCTCGTGGCTCTTGCCATGCTGCTTCTCCACAGGCCGTGCCAACTTATGTCCAGCAGCGATGTGTTTACCCGTGTCAGGGCAGCTTCATCAGTATAGGATGTTGTTTAAATTTTTTGTTTGCTAATTTGGTAAATATAATGTGGTACTTCAGGGTTGCTTTATTTTGCATTTCTTTGATTATTAAAAGAAATTAGCATTTTTTCCCTCTGGGTACCTTTTGGATTTCCTTGGATGTGAGTTGCCTGCTGCCTCAGTGCTTCGCCCATTTCAGTAAATTTAAATCTTGATTTTAAAAAAAGCCAGACCCAGTAAAATCTTTACACACAATAGCTGTTGTATTGTTAATATATTTTCCAGTATGGTGTTTGCCTTTTAATTTTAGATATATATTTAATTTTTTGTTGTTGCTTCGAAGCATAGAAAGCTACCCTCCCTCTGGAGACCTAATAAATATTTAATTCTACCTTCTGTTCTTTTAAGCTCTTTAATTCATCTGGATTGTATTTGAGTATAACTTAAGTTGCAAATTACATTTTTTTCCAAATTGCTAATGTTATTCTAACCTTTTTCTGTTCTCTTTCTCAGGAATTATACACCAGATGAAAGGTGATTATGATACTGCACTGAAACTCCACAAGACCCACCTGTGCATCGCCCAGGAGCTGAGCGATTACGCTGCTCAGGGCCGTGCCTACGGGAACATGGGCAATGCCTACAATGCTCTGGGCATGTACGACCAGGCGGTCAAGTACCACCGGCAGGAGCTGCAGATCTCTATGGAAGTGAATGACCGCGCCTCGCAGGCATCCACACACGGGAACCTTGCTGTGGCCTACCAGGCCCTGGGTGCCCACGACCGGGCCCTGCAGCACTATCAGAACCACCTGAACATTGCCCGGGAGCTGCGTGACATCCAGAGTGAGGCCCGGGCCCTCAGCAACCTGGGCAACTTCCACTGCTCTCGGGGGGAGTATGTCCAAGCTGCCCCCTATTATGAACAGTACCTCCGGCTTTCTCCAGACCTTCAAGACATGGAGGGAGAAGGGAAGGTCTGCCACAATCTTGGCTATGCCCATTACTGCCTGGGAAATTACCAGGAGGCGGTGAAGTACTATGAGCAGGATCTGGCACTGGCCAAAGACCTTCATGACAAACTGAGCCAAGCGAAAGCTTACTGCAACTTGGGCCTAGCATTCAAGGCTCTATTGAACTTTAGCAAAGCTGAAGAGTGTCAAAAGTACCTGCTGTCCCTAGCCCAGTCCCTGAATAATTCCCAGGCTAAATTCCGAGCCTTAGGGAACCTGGGCGATATATTCATCTGTAAAAAAGATATAAATGGTGCAATAAAATTCTATGAGCAGCAGCTGGGCTTAGCTCATCATGTAAAGGACAGAAGACTAGAGGCCAGTGCATATGCAGCCTTGGGCACTGCATACCGAATGATCCAGAAATACGACAAGGCCTTGGGTTATCACACGCAGGAACTGGAGGTATATCAGGAGCTGAGCGACTTGCCAGGGGAGTGCAGAGCTCACGGGCACCTGGCTGCTGTCTACATGGCCCTTGGGAAATACACAATGGCATTCAAATGTTACGAAGAGCAGCTGGATCTAGGGCAGAAGCTGAAGGATCCAAGTCTAGAAGCCCAGGTCTATGGCAACATGGGCATCACAAAGATGAACATGAATGTGATGGAAGAAGCCATCGGCTACTTCGAGCAGCAGCTGGCCATGCTGCAGCAGCTGAGTGGAAACGAGTCTGTGCTCGACAGGGGCCGGGCCTACGGCAACCTGGGGGATTGCTATGAGGCCTTGGGTGACTATGAGGAAGCTATCAAGTACTATGAACAATATTTATCTGTTGCCCAGAGTCTGAATCGCATGCAAGACCAAGCCAAGGCTTACCGGGGCCTAGGAAACGGACACAGGTAAACGTGGTTGATAAACTTGCACAAAGAGCAGTTGTGACAGTAATGGCATGTGGTTTGTTAACTACAAAACATTTTCATACGTATCTCATTTGGTTCATCCAATGATTCTGTGAATTTAGCAGGGGATAGTACTACCTTTATGTTATGGAGGAGGTAACTGAGGCCCAGAGAGGTTAGGTTAATCTCCAAGGTTACACAGTTTAAAAGTGACAGCTGAGAGTCACACCCAGGGCTCTTTGACTCTGACTGCATTGCCTTTTTGTCTGCATCGTAATGAGCAAGATAAAAGATAATAAGAATGGGAAAGATGAGTGAATCAATTTCACTGAGCTTTTCTGAATGCCTCCCACATTATATGAAGTGTTTTTTAATATGTCATCTGTACCCACCAATTATTTGGCCCCCATTTTGTTGCTTTTAGGGAAAGCCATTTGATAATGGCAGGAGTGAATAAATATATATTATCATCATGCTTGGTACCTTGACTATATATCTTGCTTAACATTTATAGCAATCCTGTATTGCTCTACATGGATTATTATCTGCTATGGGATGTGGGATTTATTATCATTTAGAAACTGAGGCTCAGGAAAAGGAATTTACGTGCCTCCACACAACTGGTTTGGTCTGCTGCCAGAATCTATGTTCTTCCCAGTCTTATCACGTCATCTCTTAGCAGCAGCACAAAAAGATACACTGTTGGCTAAGGTGATGCTTTTCCTTCTGAATGTGGGGAGCCCAAGAAGGTGTCTGTGTCTGCAAAATATACGGCTTCTCCAGATAGGCAGGGGATTAGGGCTCCTGGAGTGGAGGGAAGGCAAGGGTCAAACTAAATCATCACCCACCGAGTGCTCGGAGGAGTTCAGGGTGAAGGATTTATAGCTGTTGTAAAGTGATTTCAAAAACATAGTCTAAGCAGTAGTGGAAATTGGGAGGCCTGAAGAACCAAACAGTTCACTTGCTATCATTGTGCCTATTAATATATTTTATGTTTCCTCTGGGGTGTATATCCCATTGAATCTCAGGCTCTTGGGAAGGTCACTAAGGGATGACTTTTGAATTGCTTTCCAGATTATGAAATTCCCCTGCATCTCACTCTAAGGGCACATGATAGATTTTAGCTAGAAGAGGAGTTAAGAGCTTCTATAGTAAGTGACAGTGACAAATGCTTTTCATTTTCTCAGGGGCTTTAGTATGTCTGCACCTGCACAAAATAATATCATTGCTTTTCTGTCTACATCCCCACAGGGCAATGGGAAGCTTGCAGCAAGCCCTTGTGTGCTTTGAAAAGAGGCTCGTGGTCGCCCATGAGCTCGGGGAGGCCTTTAATAAAGCCCAGGCCTATGGAGAACTGGGAAGTCTGCACAGCCAATTAGGGAATTACGAACAAGCCATTTCCTGCCTTGAACGCCAGCTGAACATTGCTAGGGAGATGAAAGACCGAGCTCTGGAAAGTGATGCGGCCTGTGGCCTGGGGGGCGTCTACCAGCAGATGGGGGAGTATGATACAGCCCTGCAGTACCACCAGCTCGATCTGCAGATCGCAGAGGAAACCAACAACCCCACATGCCAGGGCCGAGCCTATGGGAACCTGGGCCTGACGTACGAATCTCTGGGCACCTTCGAGAGGGCTGTGGTCTATCAAGAGCAGCACTTGAGTATCGCTGCCCAGATGAACGACTTGGTGGCCAAGACGGTGTCATATAGTAGCCTCGGAAGGACCCATCATGCTTTGCAGAACTATTCCCAGGCGGTCATGTACTTACAGGAAGGTAAGTGCAAAGGCCCCCGTGGTCTCTGGGTCTACTCTGAGATGGCGTTCAGAGTCTACTCAGAGGGCCGTATGCACCGTCTGAGTGGCCACCCGGCTTACAGTGAGGATCTCAGAAGCCACTCTGTTCCACTCGGAAACCATGATGCCCCCCCCCCTCCCCCGGGTGTCCTTTAATAGCACACAGGCATTCTAGGGTCCAGCTTGTCTTACGCTGCCAGCCAGCTGCCCAAGGAGCAGATACCCTCCTTCCTGCTTCTCAGGATCCTCTGAGTGAACAACACATCCTGCCAAGGTGAATCAAATAAGATCTAATCATGTCAAACTTAAGAGTCAGAGGAAAAGTCTTAGAATATATCACAGCTATCCAGAAGTCCATGTTGGTGTAGCAGCTGAGGTCCAACCCTGAAGCATCAGTCTGAGGGTCACTCAGGCAGTTGACTAGACTTCCTTCTCAGAGCTTATGACCTTCAGTGCTCGGGATGGGGCACAGTAGTCTTGTTGCAGGCAGCCCCAGAAAGTGGCTGCAGCTGCTGTTGCTCCTCCTCCTCTCCCTGCCCTCCCCCTTCTTGCTCCTCCCCCTTTCCTTCTGCTGTCAAGTTCCCTTCAGTTACCTCAGTGCTGGGAGGCTTCCTTCACCTCTTTTCTACTCGGGAAAACACTGCTCCTCCCATGGGCACATTGCATCCTCCGGTCCTGGGAAAGCGGCAGGTATGATGACCTTGGCTCACTAGTAAAAGGAAATTGTCGCTGATTTCAAGCAAAAACTCTCAGCTATAGTTTCTAAGTTTTGTGTTTGTGTTTTTTGTTTTTTTTTTTAACATATATAGTTTATTTAATTGGATTTAATTCTCACAGTGACCTTGAGAGGTTTTTATTCCCATTTGCAGCTAAGTAACCTGAGACTCGGAGAGTACAATGACTTGATTCTGACTGCGTGGTCAGTCAGTGGTGAGGAGGGGCTCACTCAGCTTTTCTGACCCCAGAAACCATGTAAGACCCTGTGTGGTGCTGCTCCAAACCTGCCAGGAACAGAACAGGGTCGGGGCAGTCATAGCCCTATTCCTCCCGAGCCCCAGCTGGGAAGCCGGGAGAGAAGGAAGCAGGAAGCCAAGTGGAAAAGGGGCCAGAGGCTGACGTTTCTTTGCACAGACCAGGGACTGCTCTGGCCTGCAGGCTGAGAGGTTACCGAGAGGCTGAGCGCCGCTTCCCAGACCTTATTTGGCTCCCACTCACTGGGAGCTTGCCTCGATGCATTAAATATGAGAATTGGCTTCTGGTTTCCTGAAACTTGACTGTGGTAGAATTCCAACAGACTGGGGGCGATTTTCAGTTGAATTTGTGAAAACCATTAAATTCAGACCCAGCATATGACAACCTTTCAGCTGTGTTCTTTTGTACTTCCTGAAATATTGTTTCCATAAAGCAGCTGCTTTGCCTGAGACATTGTAACATAATTCTATATTTATGGGAAACTCAATTTCATTTTTATTGTTCCTTGTAGTTTTAAGGCTCGCAGAGACCTAAATTCTCCTTGGTGGCATCTCCTCGGTGCTTGTTTCGTGGGTGTGCTCTACCAGAGAGTAGAGCCTGGGGTGCCTGGGGCCAGACAAGACACCGCTTCTCGTGAGCTGTGACAGAGCAGGGCACCCGGAAGGCCTTTCGGAGTCCTCTGAGTCGCAAGGAGGGAACAGTTCAGTCAGAAACCACCTCAGTGCCTTCTCTCTGGTTTTCAGAGGGGCCTATGAATCAACCTCGCGGGGCCCCACTCAGAAGACTCTCACAGGTGGAGCCTCGCCTGGGTCTTTTGAACAAGCCCTGCAGGTGATTTGTAGGGATGCCCTGGTTAAAACCACTGGCCTCATCCAGCCTTTCCTGGATGAGAAGAGAGGGAGCCTGGAGCAATTTAGTGCCCTTACCTAGTCGTGCAACTAGTCCTAGCAGACCAGCTCCAGGAGAGCTGGATGTGGGGGTCACATCCCTGAGAGACAGAAGCAGACAGAAACGGGCAACAGCTACGCTGCCTGTCCAGTGGGCTTTTAGCTCTTGGTTGTTGAACCCCTGACTATGGGCCAGGGAGTGCCTCACCTGCTGGGGACCCATCAGGGAACAAAGCAAAGCCCCAGCTTACACAGAAGGTACCTCGGGATTGGGGTGGGGCTACCTCAATGATTTTACTTCCAACTCATGGACCCAGAGCTGGCAGGGATAGCTATGTTGAAGAATGAGTATGGTTAGTTTGTTGAAGGTTAAAACAGCCAGTATTCTCCTGGTTTTCATCCAAGATCCATCTTCTTTCATTTGTGTTTCTGCTCTGTGAGGTATTTTAAAATGTGAATAACTTGCAAGTATTATTTTTGTTACCCAGTAACATGATTTAAACTTAAAATGCTATTTCGAAGTTTTCTGAGTTATATGCATTTTGAAATGCGTAATATTTTTATGAGCTGGAACCTGAGTATTGCTTTTATTAGCTTCTCAACTGACTCAGTTCCTTTTCAAAAGCCTGAAATTGCATGGGCCCAGCATGCTCAGAAGAGGGCTCCCATCCACCCTGAATTAGATTAGGAAAAGGAAGTCCTTTCTCTGTGTGCTCAGCTATAGTGTGGGAGCCTTCGTGCTGTCTTCTGGACAAACTAACGCCTGTGTTCAGAGAGCAGGGAGGGTAATGAGGACAAAGTGATACTGAGAACCGCTTAGTGGCCAATACAGCAAGTGGGCGCCCCCTTATTGGGCTCCCACAAAGCCTTGGAGGTTGCTGGTGTCCTGAAATTCAGAAGCTTACTGTAGGTAAGTGACCCGAACTGCAGGTGTCTATTGGAAAGCCTTTAGAATGGGGACAATCTTATTTAAGACTTTGGACTCATAATAGCACTTGTTCTGCAACCCCGCTGAGGCACATCAAAATCTCAGCCTTAAAGGAAAAACAGATTGGACATGAAATGCATCAGCATCAGTAATAGAAGGTGGTGTCAGGCGGTGTGAGCACTCTGCTTTCGGGAGTACATCAGTATGTCTCCCACCCACACTGATTGGATCCTGTGCACATGAAATAGGGACCTATATCCGCGTGGCTTCTGTGCTGGACCATGGCACTGCCGGAAAAGCTTTTGCAGCCAAAGAATTGGGTTAGATCCATTTATAGGCCCAGTTTTCATTTGCAAAGCGAGGGATTTCACATCTAGGAGGGTGGCAGGTTAGGTTCCATTCGTTTCAGTGTTTCTGCCTGCCACGCAAACCTGTCTCCTGCTGATCGCCATCACCTGAGCTCTTCCTGGGGCGCCTTGCATGCCCTGGAAAGGTTGCTGCCATCACAGAATTTGAAGAGAATGCTTACTCTGCCTGGCTGGTTCTCCCTTTGTCCTGCACTTTATCTAGCTGTGTTAACATATTTTATTTACACTTGAGACAGAATTACCCTCCTGGACTCCTTGGCAGGTGGAATTGTGTATCTTCTATGTTTCCTTAAAATTTCTCTATCTGATTTCAGGTTTAAGGTTAGCTGAGCAACTGGGCCGAAGAGAAGATGAAGCCAAAATTCGCCATGGTCTTGGCCTCTCCCTTTGGGCGAGTGGGAACCTGGAGGAGGCTCAACACCAGGTGAGTAGAACCCTTGTCCCAGGTGGAAATCTTGGGATACCTGTTCTCATCATAATTGGCCAGAAGGTGCTGGCCTCTGCACTTGGCTTGATGTAAAGGTTTTCCAGCCTGTACCAGCCCAGAAATGCTGAGCATAGTAAAGATTCCTACTCAGCTGTGTGATAGATTTCTCAATAATTTCTTTGACATTCGTGTATTATGTGCTGCTGTTCCTCATTAATCCTTAATATGAAATTACATACATACATTTTATAATAGAAGTAGTCAAGAATTCATGATTATTGGATTTAATGTCCTGATTTCTCTTTCTCTCTCTCTCTCTCTCTCACACACACACACACACACACACACACACACACACACACACACAGTTCATGGTTCTGCCTTTGTGGGTTCCTCTGGAAGGTTGGAGGAGTTGTTGCCGGGGTCCAACCCCAGCGGGTCCAGGGGTCCCCAAAGGTGTGGACGGAGTCGGCGAAGAAGAGATGACATGGAGGCAGCATTCAGTTCATCAGCAGCCTAGCCAGGATCTCTAGCCAGGATCTCCAGCCAAGTTCTGGTCTGGATCTCCAGCGAAGTTCTGCTTCGGATCTCCAGCCAGGTTTTGTCCAGGTTCTCCAGCCAGGTTCTGTAGCCATGTTCCCTCGCTAGGTTCTCCAGCCAGGTTCAGTCACCAGGTTCTAGTCAGGTTCTCTTGCCAATTTCTGTAGTCAGGTTCAGTCCAGGATCTTTTGCCATGTTCTCTCCAGCGAAGTTCTTCTATCTGTAGGTTCTGTGTAGGTTCTGTCTTCTTAGTTCTGTGTTCTAAGCTCTGTATTCTAAGTTCTGACTCTTGCTGTCTTGTTACATCTGTATTTATACCAGTTGATTCAATCCTATCAATCTCTATTACAAAGGTTAGGGCGTTTCTTATCTCCATTCCAGGGAGTAAAGATTATGTAGCTTAAGCATGATTGTTCGTAGTTAAAGTGATTAATTACCCACCTGGCACTTAGTTGAGGGGTTTTATTCCCTCCCTAACTTCAGGGGAAAATCCCTACCTGGGGAAACAACCTTTCTCGGAGAGGTGACCTTGGTTAAAACACATAGTGCCAAGAAGGTGAGCAAACATATTAAGAACAGTATGCCATATATGCCAGGTCCTTTGAAACAGTAAGGATGGACCAGCTCCCGGCAAGTTGTGAGATGGTATCATCTAAAATCACACACTTAGCCACTTAAGCAGCATATGAGTGATCACTGGGGAGGGCGTTGTGCTAGGCAGAAGGGGCAAAGGATGAGGGAATGAAGTTGAGCACATGATGTGACTGAATTTGTGCCATAGCATCCTAAAATGTTAGGGTATTTTACTGTACTTTTTAAACTATTAAAGGCAATTTAAAGAATTCTCCAATTTCCTGGTTTTAAAAATTAAAACTTGTATTGATGTAGTAATTTACAGTTTCCACAGTACCTTCACTCACTGTATGTATTCCTTAAGCAACCACGCGAGGTAGAATGATAACTGTCCTTTGTAGAGAAGAAATGGAGGCTCGGAAGCTCACCAGAAGTCACACAGCTGGTCAGTGGAGAGCTGGGAGTCATCCCTCTCTCCCAGTCTGTCTCTGAGTCTTAGCATTCTATTTTTTAAATTTGCATGAACTTAACATTTGATACTGTATTTTCAGCATGTAAATATCAGAAGAGTTTTGTGATCTCACTGATAGAGAAGCCTTTAGAGCAGCAGGAAAGTGTGTGTGGCTCTAGGGCGGCTGGTCCAGCAAAGACCTGACCCTGGGACACTGCTGTGGAGGCCAGTGTTTGATTCAGCTGAACTGCCTCCAGAAAGCTATGCCTCTCCTGGGAGTGCGCGGCCTTCATCTCATTCCCCGCCCCTCGCCCGCCCCCCTCGTCTATTCCCAGCCTGCCTGCACCACACCTGTTCCCACTTCAATCCTTAGGCACTGAGAAGTGTGTGTGCTGAATTATGGCTGCTTGATGACAAGAGGAGAGACATTTTTTAAAATTCAAAATCAGCACTTGGTTGGATTAGTAGCTGATTTTTTGTTTTACAACTTTCAGACTACAAGTCTATAACCTGTCTTCTAAATCCCTTTATCCACCCTAACCTGTTTTGTTCAGTGGATAGAGCATCGGCCTGCAGACTGAAGGGTCCTGGGTTCGATTCCAGTCAAGGGTACGTACCTTGGTTGCAGGCTCTTCCCAGGCCCGGACCCTGGTTGGGGCACGTGCAGGAGGCAACCAATTGATGTGTTTCTCTCACATCGATATTTCTGTCTTTCCCTCTCTCTTCCACTCTCTCGAAAAATCAATGGAAAAAGATCCTTGGGTAAGGATTAAAAATAAATAATTCCCTTTATCTGTCAAAAATTGATTACATACCGTAAACTAGTTTACCAGGTATATGATCTGATGCCTTTCCAGTAGGACCTACCTGGAAATAAAATTCATCCTTACCACCCTTTAAAAAAATTTTTTAGGTTGTACACCAGGATGTGAGCAAAAGTTGTCTTTAGTCAGTGTGTGGCTGGAGTGTGGTTTCTGGGGAATGGATAACGTTCCCTTTCCCCTCCTTGCAGCTCTATAGGGCATCGGCCTTGTTTGAAACAATACGACATGAGGCGCAGCTGAGCACAGACTACAAACTCTCCCTCTTTGACCTGCAGACGTCATCCTACCAGGCCTTGCAACGGGTGCTCGTCAGCCTAGGTGAGAGCAGCTGGGGTTCCCACCGTGAGTGTGTGAGCTTGCATATCTTAGTCGCTTAGTGATTGCTGTGATGAAATATGATTTGTTGTTACACCAAAAACTGTATTGGATTAGAAGTTGGATTGAAAGACTGAGGGAAAACTTAAAAGAGAGATGCAATTTCAAACAACTAGAGACCTCAGATGTTTAAACCCTTTGCCCGTGGGGATTAGTAGAGAGAAGTGTATGGGAGCCCAAAATGGAACGAGCTATCAGCTTGAACAATAATCACCTGCTATACCCATGGTGCTTTGAATAATGCCTCCCAGGCATCTTCACATTCAGTGCCTCATTTAATCTTTACCTTTAAGATGGGCAGGGCAACTATTAGGGTCCCTCTTTCTGAGACAAGGTCAGTGAAAGGGGGGAGGACCCACTCAGCAGAGGGACCAGCATGCACAAAGGCACAGAGATATAACCTGGGAGGGAGATGAGCGGGTGGGCTTGGACAGTGTGAAGTGTAGAGGAGCTGCACCGAGGAGAGATAGTCTAGGGCAGGGGTGGGCAAACTTTTTGACTCGAGGGCCACAATGGGTTCTTAAACTGGACCGGAGGGCCGGAACAAAAGCATGGATGGAGTGTTTGTGTGAACTAATATAAATTCAAAGTAAACATCATTACATAAAAGGGTACGGTCTTTTTTTTTTTTTAAGTTTTATTCATTTCAAATGGGCCGGATCCGGCCCGCGGGCCGTAGTTTGCCCACAGCTGGTCTAGAGCCAGGTCCTATAGGGCTCATCTGCCAAAGTCAAATCAGAATCAGAGTTGAGCAGTAAAGTCAGAGGGTAACCAGCATCCAAAGAGCCAAGTGAATGGGGTCAGAAGCCAGGAGGCACCTCGGGATGTGGAGCAGATGCTAAGGATGAATCCCCTAAAGTGTGGCAAGGCTGGCTCTCATGTATGGCTGCAAGACGGGGAGGCCGAGACCTTCGGGTGGTGTGGAATCTGAAAATACGGGGTTTACCAAAGGGGACACTACACCTATCATCTGAGGCTGAACTGAGACGCGCTCACACATTGGAGTGCGGGGGTAGTGAGGCTTCTGCCCAGGATCTCTGTAGCTGATGGCCCCTCTCTGTAAGCACACTCCCCAGGGAGTCCTCAGTCTGTCCCTTTTGTCTCGTAGGCCATCATGACGAAGCCCTGGCTGTGGCAGAAAGAGGACGGACGAGGGCGTTTGCGGATCTTCTGGTAGAACGACAAACAGGACAACAGGACTCTGACCCCTACTCTCCAGTCACTATCGATCAGATCTTAGAGATGGTGAACGGCCAGAGAGGACTAGTGCTGTACTATTCTCTGGCCGCGGGCTACCTGTACAGCTGGCTGCTTGCTCCTGGGGCAGGTAAGATCTCTTTCTGTAGGAACAGGGCAATTACACACAAGACTGTGAACGTCTAATGAATAGAGGTGCATTGCCATAGATCAGACTAAGAAGCTGATGTGGGATTTCAGCGAAGTCTCAGCCACAGTGGATAGTCCATGGTGGAGCATTCAATTAATAAGACAGCCCAGCGTTCTCATTCCCCCAAGAAATCGCTGCTCCGCACTGGCAAATGTGGAAGCATTTATCAAGGAAGACCAAGAGCAGGAGGATTAATTTCACTAGCAGTCCTGTTTGTAGGCAGCTGCTGTTCATTAGGTAATAAAGCGATGACTGTAAGTCCTAAGGAGTGCTTTCTAGCTATGATTTAATGGTTTTAACCCTTTGTTATGGTAAAGTTAAAGAGACTAAAACGATAGTGGCAAACCCTTCTCACGGTATATAAAAGAAGTCTTATGCTTGGCATTTCTGAATTTATCAGAATCCATTTTAACCAGTTTCATCCATTGTAAATTTATTTCAGAAATAAAAATTTCCTTTGATTAAATTGGCTTTAAATGTTCAGGCTGTAACAGTTTCACTAAATACAGAACCAGTAACTAGCTGTTAGGGCCTTACTTTTCGCATAATAAAATGCTGATGGCTTTACCATGTTGGAGACACACCAGACCCAATTAAGAGTTTATTGACTGGGGAAGTGGATCTTCTAATTGGGAATCTTGAAGAATGAGCTTCTTGAATATCTGTAAGCCAATTTCAGAAAGTTCAACTGCCAGGAGAATTGATAAGGTTTCTTGATTATGTCTCCATCGCTTTGATTTTAAAAAGTGATGGCTGGATGACAACTCTCAGATGCTTCTTGGGTTCTAAGCACTTGTGCCTGTACACGCTGTGCCTCAGCATTATCGCTTATAATCTTTCCCCTTAACTCCATTTTTTATGGGCTTTCAATAAAGAACATTTTTACCTCTGACCTTTTTATGCTGAAGGTTTTAAGCTGTGATGTTCATGGTGACTTGGTGAGTGTCAGCCACTGTGGGATGAATCCCTGTGTATCCCAGCCCCCAGCGGGCACTAATACCCAGGAGGACTCGGCTGACAACAGAGATATCAGGCTCTTTCTCTCTGGTTGTTACGTTTTGGGGACATGATTTGACAGGTGGTATATCCATATCCCTGTAATAATGAGCCGTGTATAATGAGGCTCCTATTGTTTCCCTTTCTGTTCCTCTTTGCTCTTAATGAGACTCTGAAGCTTTCACTGGGGCCCTAATCAAATCAGAGAGGACCAGCATTTTCCAGCGCTGACACACCTCATTACCGTGGGAGAAGATGTCCTGTGTTTATTGCTAGAAGACCACTCTGGGTTCTGTCAGCTTCATGCCGCCGTCATTTTTTGCTTCTTTAATCCATTAATGACTGTTGACCAGTTAGTCTTATTTAAAAATAGTTTTATATGTTTATATCTGGCCTTTGTACTACAGATTGGTTTTGATTTGCTTTTGTGAAATGAAAGGGCTTTGAGTACCACCGTTTCCACTTGGCTGGTTATATTTTTATTCAGGATTTCAGTTCCTGGGGAGACTAAACGCTGGCATGCTCCTGCACTCTTCTGGAAAAAAACTTTCCCTAGTTGGTGAAAGTTTCCGTTTTGAAATACCTGTGAAGTAGTCATCATTTCAGGGGCTTCAGAATATATCGTCAAAAGCAAAAGCAAAAGCAAAAGCCCTGTGTTGAATTCCCTATTCCAGGCACCAAACCTGATGGTGAAAGCTGCCAAAAGGGCACTGACCAAACCTCTGAAACCCTCTTGAGAGGGTGGGTTTCAGGACTTCTTCACATGGTTTGGAGGAAGGCCTGCCTGTTAAAGAGGCCACATAGCATTGGCATTGCTGTCCCGTCCTTCACCTTTCCCGCCCCCAACCCCAGTCCTGTAACGTTGGCCGTGCCTGTCTTGTTTCAGGAATCCTGAAGTTTCACGAGCACTACCTGGGTGACAACACAATGGAAAACGCCGGTGACTTCCAGGCCGGCAGCAGTGCAAACCTCCCAATAGCCACCAGCTCGGCGCTGGAGCAGCACATCGCCAGTGTGCGGGAGGCGCTGGGCGTGGAGTCTTACTACTCGAGGCAAGTAGTACACCAGCCATAGATACAACCTCAGGAGTTCTTTGTTTTGTGTTTGTCAATATCCTATTTGAGATCTTTTGGAATTCACACTTTTGTGCTTAGTCTATTTACAGTTGCCTTAGCAGAAAAAGATATGTGTCTCTGGAGTACAAGCCCTTAGTTGCTGTGTTTGTTCTTTTTGGTAGTTTCCTTTCAGACAGGAAGGGCCTCATCGGAGATGCCCATTTCTAAGGAGGGTTTGTGGAATGTTTAAACATAATTGGGACTTTGAATTTAACATACCAGCTAATTAAAACCGAGACGAGTTTTTGGTTATAAGCAGATTCATGATGAGTCTGTACTATAGCTGAACGCCTGTTTGAGAGAGTAACTTAGCAACAGTGATAGGGCCTGTGAATGGATCTGTGCGTTGGGGGGCTGAGGTGAAGGAAATTGAATCCCGATATCAGGAATAGGGAAGAGAACCAGTAACTAGCTGTTAGGGCTTTTTGCAAAGACTGGAAAAGTTATATATTTATGGAAACACTTGGTCATGATTGACTATTATATATGGAAAATAGTTTACAGGCAAAATCAAAAGAAGAGGGTGCCTTAGAGCTGGTTGTAGTGAGATTCCCCCGCGTTTCAGTTCTCCATCCTGCGATGAACAAGTGTTGAGAAGGTCTGTGTGCCACAGAATCTGCTGTGTTAGCTGGCGTCAGGTCCCTAGGATTCCTGCTTGCCTCTTGAATGATTTCATTTGTAATCATGAAATCCTAAGACATTGCTGTGATTTCTTTAGAGATGATTATCCCAGGCCTCTGGGTGTGTGGTGGTCATTGCCAGCAGCTGGACTGAGTTTTGAGAAGCTTATGAAGTTGAGGAGAAGTGCTTAGATGAAAAATAATCATTGGCTAGTGTAATGTCAAGACTGGAAGTAACCGTAGTGGTCATCTTGTCCAATTCCTTCATTAACATAAGCCAGCACTGCATCGGGCTTGCTGACAGCTGAATTAGTGTCAGGGCCAGGATCCAAACAATCTAGATCTCACCCAGACTCCCAGGCCCCTGCTCGTTTTGTTTCTAATTATCAAAATTAATATCATATTTTGAGAAAATAGCTGAAGCATGTAAGAATGTCATCGCTAGCTTCTGCTTGTATGAAATCTGAACAGGCGTCAGCCACACACACACATTGTTGTCTTATTTCTTCTATGACTGCGGTGCATCCTGGAATATCCCCATTAACCCTGGGTAATGGTGTGGCGATTACAGGTGCTTGACAGTGTTGAAATCCCCAGGACTTGGAAGCAAGGCTACTCCCTGAGATTTAATTGACCATAAAATAGGTCAGGCCAGGGGGTGTACAAAGCTGCTTTACACAGACAGAAAGACACTTAGGCCAGTCTGATTACATTGTAACCTGACCAAAGGTAGTGCATGTCCAAAGCCAGTATTCAGGTGGTTGGCCAGCAGTGGAAACACACACAAAAAAGGAGAGCAAGCAGGGCAATGCCCATTTCTGACACGTCAAAGGGAAAGAGAATCTTGGCTAAGGGACTCGAAATCCCATTGGAGGCTGTTCCCGTGGTGGACTTGCAGTCAGCACACTGTCTTATCCTCCCTTCCCGCCCACAAACCCAGGGTGTCCAAAAGATGCACGCACACTTTAACAGCTGGAGCATATTTTTAACACTGCCTCTATAAATATTCAAAGTGTGCATACGTTTTTTGGGACACCCTATATTTGAGCGCCTACTATGAACTATGTACACTTGAGATTGGGAATAAAATGGTGAGTAAGATGAGCATGGCTCTGGCTCTCAGGGAACTGAAAGTTAATAAACAACAGAACATATAAAATCTTTTAACTGAAGCTGTTAAATGAGAAGGCAGGGTGTAATTAAAATATGTAGCGGGAGCCTATATAGGGAGGCTTCCTTGAGGAGGGGATATTCGAGCTGAGCTTGGAAGGAGGACCAGGTAAAACTAGATGACGGCATCCCAGGCAGTGCGTGCCAAGGCCTTCAGTAGCCCTCAGTGGAGACATCGCAGGTTGTCTTAGTGCCTTCCCTTGTCATTTGGTTTTGCATGTGAATCGACTTGCAGACAGAGAATGCACATCATCAGTGGCATGCTGGTTGTACAGCTCGGCAGGCGTGGCCAATGCGAGTGGGCTCCCAGGAGACAAAGCCTCTGTGGGCGCATCAACAACAGCAGATTTGCAAACCTGTGAGGCCACAGTTAGAGCCTGAACCGAGAGGAGGTCATGAAGGGACCCCGGTGTGTGACACCTGCCGTTTGAACCTTTGCACATGCAGAGGTAGTTGCTGTGTGCCGTCTGCACTTTTTTCATTCTTCCTTGTTTTATCTTTTAAAATATATTTTATTGATTTTTACAGAGAGGAAGGGAGAGGGATAGAGAGTTAGAAACAACGATGAGAGAGAAACATTGACCAGCTGCCTCCTGCACACCCCCTTCTGGGGATGTGCCCGCAACAAGGTACATGCCCTTGACCGGAATCGAACCTGGGACCTTTTCAGTCCGCAGGCCGACGCTCTATCCACTGAGCCAAACTGGTTAGGGCTCTTCCTTGTTTTATAATCACCTGGTTTGGGTGTCTTCCCTCATAGATGGTGATGCCATGGAAAGCAGGTGCTATGTCCTTCTCCTCTCTGAATTCTCACTAACACGGTTCTTGGACCAAAGTGAGATTCAGTACCTTTGAAATTTAGTCACCAGAAGATGCGCTGGGAGCAGATGCTCTGTTCATTCTGGGCTAGTTTACCGATGCTCTTCTAGTGGATGTAACATACGCTGTACCCCTAGCAGCTGAATCTCCATGCCTTGGGGAGCACCAGCCTTCAGTAACCCACAGCCTGGTCATGGTGTCCTTGTTATTCTAAAGACTGTGTTTGCTCTCCTTAATGGCATTTTACTGCTGAGAGGAAGTACAGTGTTACAAAGGAGTTTCTGAAAACGGATTTAAAATAAAAGAACTGCTTTTATTAAGTGTTTAATAAGAAATTCCCTTCCCTTCCTCCCAGATCAAAAGAGGTGTAGATTGAAACCACTGTATAGAACACAAACCTCTCATAAGGGAGATGTTACGAATTTCAAAGCACATCTTCAGCTTTTAATTCTGATATTTAACCAGAGTCTTGCTGCTGCCTGGGTACCTGGGACAGTGCAGTAGCTATGGGGATGCTAAGCTGACTGGTTGGAACACTCAGGGGGCTGTGTTCACTAGGAGGCCAGATGGAAGGAGTGCTCTCAAGGGGTTTTAAATGACCTACAATTATAGAGTACCCTTACAATAGGGCAAATATTCCTTCATTGTAAGTGAGTGCTAAATCTTAACACACTGTAACTCTTGTGTGTTTTTCTTTTGGTGCTTTTCTTTTCTTTTTTTTAATATATTTTATTGATTTTTTACAGAGAGGAAGGGAGAGGGATAGACAGTTAGAAACATCGATGAGAGAGAAACATCGATCAGCTGCCTCCTGCACACTCCCCACTGGGAATGTGCCCGCAACCAAGGTATATGCCCTTGACCGGAATCGAACCCGGGATCCTTCAGTCCGCAGGCTGATGCTCTAGCCACTGAGCCAAACCAGCTAGGGCTCTTTTGGTGCTTTTCTATATTTCTAAATCTTCTACAGGGAAAGTTATTTTATATTCAAATGCATTTTCTTATTTCAAAACACTGATTAATTTAGATTGCACCAATTCGTAAATGCTGGTGATTCCAGTTGGTTCTAGACTGATAATAAGTGGCCATTCTTAACAAGTCTGACAATGCAAATTATTGGAGGAGCTGTGGCTGGTGAGAGAGTACATTGGCATAACCACATCAGAAGGCTGAATATTCACAGATCCTTTGGTCCAGGGATATACCTTAGGTATAACATCCACGAGAGGCTATTGTACATGAACAAGCATGTTCAGAGCTGAGCTGTAAACAATAGCAAAACTCTCACACATGCCCACATGCCACCAGTGAGAGAGTGCGTGCATATGTGGTGGTGTAGTTCCCAAATGGAATATTAGACAGCGGTAGAGAGAGATGTGGCTAAATCTTAGAAATACAATATCAAGTGAAAAAGTAGGTCCCCAAATACCTACAGCATGACATGCTTTTAACAGAGATAAAGTAACTAAAATAAAAGTATGTTTTTAGGACTACAGCTAGAGGCAATAAAACCTGTATAGAAAGGACAAGCAGGGAGTGATAGCCCTGGAATTCAGGGTTGACTTGCCTTGGTCTGGGGAGGCAGGGGATGGATTTCATGGAAGTTAACCAATAATTAACAAATAATTTTGTATGTTATTCTCCAGCTTCTTTTTGGGTGGTGGTTTTATAAGCACTTATTGCATTATTGTTTAAAAATATATTTTTATTGATTTTAGAGAGACGAAGGGGGAGAGAAACATTGATTGGCTACCTCCTGTGCATCTTCCACTGGGAACTGAGCCTGCAACCCGGGCATGTGCCCTGACCGGGAATCAAATTGTGGTTCATGGTCCAATTCTCAACCTCTGAGCCACCCCAGCCGGGCAGCACTTAGTGCATTATTAAAAATTACTGAATAAATGAAAGCAGGCTATGCATGGATCAATGATGAAAGGGTGTCATGAACCAAAGGTCATGATTAATCCAATTTCAAAGAGATTCCACCACCATCCCCCAAAAGAGGAAAAAAGCAGGGATTTTTTTTTTTAAACAAATGAATTATACAAGCAAGGTTGCAAGTAGGATTTATTTAATCAATGTAAATGGACAATTGATAGGCTGATTAAAATTATTTATATTTGTCCTTCTGAGCAAGTACCTAAGCACCGGTCATTGCTGCATCATTGGCTTATTTGAAGTGACAGTAGGTCTTTGAACATTTAAAACCATCTTTCTGACATTTTCTAATTCTGGCTTTTTGCTAATCAAGGTTGACATTCCAATTAATCCCAAGTTATTAGGTTTTACTTTACAAATAAAATATTTTCCAGAATTCTTAATGTAAAA